GTTATAGTGAGAGTGTTAGGTTTTGTTTTCCTGGTTTTTCTATTGTCATTGTGGTTCATTTTCATTTTTGCTGAATGTATTGTAGGTGTGAGAGTAACTGTTTTGTGTTTTTTTTTTTAATGCCACAACAGCTTTTTACTATTTTTCATGCTATTGTAATAGTTATCCATGTACACCTGCTATTGTAATAGTTATCCATGTACAGATGGTGTCATAACTCTGTATAAGATGATATAACCATTTGAATTGTTTCTTACAATTGGTTTCTTCAAGCACAATATATTTTGAAATTACACATATAGCCTGTAGTACTTTTACACATCATACGAACAAGAAGCGTGTATTTTACAATCCTGTCATTGTAAACTCTGAAAAATGATCTTCCCTTCCAAATTATGCTTTCATCTGAAGACAGCTGCTAAATAGGCTTAAAAACATTTATAAACTTCAGAGTAAAGTAATTCGGTAGTAGTCTGAGTTTCAAAAGCATATCTGATCCAAGTCTTCATTATTACCAAGCCTTACCTAATTGATGAAATCTGTCTCTTGCCATTATTTTTGGGAAATTTGGCATTTTTATTTACACTTTTTTTTTTTTTTTTTTTTTTTTTTTTTAATGTTTCATATTGTGATGTCTCTGCATTTTAGGGCTTTCTTGGGAGTTGTAAATTTATCAACATTTGGGTAATAATATCTATTTGATTCTTGTAATAGGAATGTAAAAAAATCATTGTCAATAAATAATCTTCCGCAACATTATTCAGAACATGTTTTGCATTTTTTCCTGAGCAGCCTAAAAACTCTTCCAGGATTGGTGGATTGTTTACTGCACGACCATTCTCTTTTAGAATGAGAATCATCTGAATTCAGGCTTGAATCAGAGCTGTTTGAAATTATTGTTTGTGAAAATGACCTAGGTCGTTGTATAATTTCATCATCAGTAAGTTTATTCTTGCTGAAATAATTCGACAAATTATCTGCACACAGTTCTTCTTCATCATGTCCTGTTCTATCCTAGTCCATTTTTAGGAATTTACATGTTAAAAAAGTCAAATAATTGTAAAAAAACCACTTTGTTGCCCCCTCCCAATACCATCAATAACAATAATTCATAGAAAATGAGTTTCATTGTCTCTTGGGCGTCAATAACAATCTGCACAAAATGAGTTTAACTGTCTCCCGTACTTTAATAACAAACTGCACAAGACCAGTTTAGTCGTTCCCTTACCTTAACAACAGGATGTACAAAATGAGAGTAGTCATTTCCAGCTTAAGATGACAGATTTTAAGAAATTTTTAGTCCAAAGGGGCAGTTTGCCCAGAAGGACTATTAATTTTGCTTTGGCATTTTTCGTCGATTTTCTATAAACGTTGCTTCACTTTTCAAAATGTTGCCACCAAATATTAGAGCCCGCATTATTTGAAGAAATAAATAATGAAAATCTGCGTAAATGCTATATTTCTCCAGGTCATAATAACGGTACATAGAGTCATCGAATTTGAATAACGTACTCCTCCACGAATATAGCATGTGGAAGTCCAAATTTGAAAATGTTTTATGATCGATTCCTATTTTAAAATTTTGACGAATTTTTGATTAAAAATCAAGGATTTCAAAGCGAGCAATGCAACGTTGTAGAAAAAACATTTTATCCCGAGCGTGAGTCTCTGTATCGGAAATTCTAAGAATTCTCGTTTTACACATTTGCGAAGGCTGTTGCACTTGTCTTATGGTTTAAGTGCGGGAACAATATTTAATAAATAAAGGTAACACACAAAATGTTTAAAAAATGCCTCTTTGGGCGTAATGTATGTTCCTCTTGCACCCAAATGCTCCTTTGGGTAGGTTACACATAAAATGTTAAAAAACGCTCCTTTGGGCATAATATAAAATTAAAGCTTTTAGTCTTTTTGCATGTAAACATTTAATTTATATTTAATTTGCATGGCTCTATGTCACATCTTTTCAGTTCTTTTGATGGCGGTACTTTTTGATCAGATTCTGTTTTGACATTACTGTAGTCCTATACTTTTTTTTTTTTTTTTTTTTTTTTTTTTGAGGTATAGCAAAACCAGGGGCTGAGTGGTGAAGACTGCTGAATACTGGGAATTTGAGTTGAGTTCAATTTCTTGTGAACGAGCTGGCTGTTGGAGTTCATGGTTTTTCCCATGTGTAATGAGAATTTCCCATTTGTAATGAGAATTCCTTCATTAGAGCATTGCTTCCATTTGGTAGATAGCCCATGTGTGCTTTGTCATATTCCGATAGCCTAACCTTTTGAGGTATGTTGTTATAAATATGAAATCTCAACAGAGGAGGACAATTAATTTTAATTAAAATTTTTAATTAATAAACACTTGAAATACATATTTTTGACTTTTTTTAACTATCTATAAACAAACATGTATGATAAAACATTTAGTAAATTATTAAATAGGATATGTTTGTACTGAAGTTAATTCATGTTTTGTGGGCTGGTCTGTTATATTATAAAATTATAATGCATATTTGGTATTTGTTAGAAATAATAGACGAAGGACAATTCCTTGTAACCAGGGACATGCAAATGCTTTTAATACATATTAGCCTAAGTATATTGCTGTGCTTGATTAAATTATTTATTAAAATATGCCCTGTAATTTGCGATAGTTCCACATGAGGTTTTCTGCAGCTTGAAATTTCCTCAGATTATAAAACTAGCATTCTGCCCCCTCTTAAAATAAGATTTCTATTTTTTTTTTTTTTTAAGTGTGTCACATAATTTCACATGTCCAATTAAACCCTGCTGGATGGTGTAATGTCAGCTCTGCTGTTCTGGGTTCTTTTTGCCTTTCATTACTGGTTCCTTATTTTTATCAGCTTTTTCCTATAATATATTGCAATTCTGAAGTAATTTTATCAAATGAAAAACAAAATAAGAATATTAGTGGTAATAAAGGAATTATATTTATATCATCATAAAATATGTTAATTAACAATTGTACCTTTTTGATATTATCTCCTCCAGATACTATGGAGGAAGAAAAAAGAGGAGAAACATGAACTGGCTTTTTCCATACCTTTCTTTGTAGCAGTGATGTACCCTCTTGTTTGCTAAATCATTCAGTTACTTGTCATTGAGATTAATAGGTTTTGACATGTAAAAATTTAGATCTAAATAATACAGTACAAAGTCTTTAATCCAGACTCGTCGGAACTTCGGCGATTCCGGATTAGGAGTTTTTCCGGATTATAGATCATCAATTTAAATCTGGTAAGATAGCATGCAGAAATAATAAAATTAAAAATATGAAACCGTAATTTATGAAATAAAGAGCAATTATGATCTAAAGGGTATCAAAATTTACAAAAAAAAAAAAAAAAAAAAAGGAGCTTAATATTTATTTGTTTGCTTTATTAAACATTTCTTTCAATGCGCACATGCGTAAAGCATACATTACGCATAGTCGAAATTAGAAAATTGCAACCAGAAAACTATTTGATGTGTATTCGTGATATTTAAAAAGGCGAGGAATTTGATTTAAATCATTTCAAAGACGGAGTACATAGAGATGAAATACTACATTTAGTAAGGAATTATAAGCCGAATAAACATCTGCCCTGAAGATGAGGATAGTGCTGACAGATCAACTTTCAGTTCATTGCGAGCCGCAACGCTCCACCCCCCGCAGAGCAGCGTGAAATTGATAAACAGATTTCGGAATGGTTAGAGAAGCAAAGGATATGCCTTTATCCATTTTTTGCAGCAATTCCGCTTTTTGTTTGATGGACATTGAAACATGCTTTCACGTTGTAGATCCTTTGGCAGCTCCAGAATTGGAAACTCTTTTTGGCATAATCGAAAGTTCAAGCTTACTTTTCATAAAACTTGTCAAGGTGTTTATGCATGTGCAGAAAGTTTGTAACTTTGAGGTCCGAATTAAAGACTTTGTACTGTAATTAGATTTCTTCACAGTAATATTCGCCGAAGTTTATAAATGAATAAATCCTTCATTTCCAAATGCATTTATAAATAAGGTAGTAAATATTTACATGATGAAGACTAGTGCATGTTTTTTGCAAGAATATGCATGCATAAATACTACTCGTATGTACTTAATATTTTTCATTTTCAGCATGTGCACTTTTTTTCCTGACTATTAATTATGTTTTTCTGGTAAAGTAATTTGCAATAATTAAGAATATATGAGAATTTTTACATAAAAAGATGTATAAATATAAATTAACGAACATTGCATGTATTATTAAGTCATTTTTTTTTATTTGAACGTCTCTCCCCTTTGGCAGATAACACTTGCATCCTTTCCATTATTTAAAAAACTTAACCTGACCTGTGTCCTAAATTACAAATACTTTAACATGCATAATTTTACATTTAGCCACCAAGTTGCAAACTTTTGGCTTAAAAACATATCCTCGAATGCATTTATTATCATTCAAATTTTCTAGTAAATATATTTTGGCAGAGCATTTAATACCTCTATTAGCAAATTTTATCCACTTTAATATAATTAATATCTCTGCCTCTGTCCCGTACCAGTCTCTGATAATATAATTAATAACGAGTCGCATTTCGCATTTAAACACTAGCCTCATTGTCATCAGATCACAATTCTAATTGCTTTACTTTGCACACTAACATCGTTTCATTTTTTGAAGTAAATTGATCTAAATTTATAAATATCTGAAAGTTACTCATTGCTAGGAAATCCAAAATGTAACAAATGCATAATATATATCGAAACTGTAATTAATAACATATATCGAAATACCAATTAATAATGTAAATGATGCTTTTTTCATGTATGGAAATGTTTTAAAATTAGCAGACCACTGTGCAATCTCTCCTTCTTTTATTAGGAATTAGATTAAGAAATAAAAATTGACTGCATTTCATTTAACAGTATACTTATTGAATAACAAAGATTTTTCATTTTCATAATTTTGTATTACATTTAGTCATCAATTAAAAATGTTGCTAAATAAAATTTAAAAAGACAGAGAGAACTTTGGTTTGATATTTTATCCTTAACTCTGTTAATTACTGATAATAATTTTTATTTTAACCCCCCGACCCCAAAGAAAAAGAAGAGAAACAGTTAAAAATAGGAATTTGTTTATCTACTATGCTGAGTGCTGTGCATATTACAGTATTAATAGATGATAAAAATATATTTTATTTAAGCATTTTGATATTTGGAACATAAAAGTAGCAAATATACTAACAAAGGCATCGAAAGAAGTGTACAAATTTTCGCTCATTTACCAGTTAGTTATAAGGAAATAGCTTTCAAGTATGCTATATTTTTGCTATATTTTGACATTTTAAAGGTAAGGTATTTATCCTTCTTTATACATACCATTAACGTTTGGCTAAAATATATTTTTGTAGTCCAGTAGCTTAGAATTCTATAAAACAAATTCATAATCAAAATTGCTATTGCAAATTATTGAAAGATACCCAAGATGCGATTTGTGTGGAAATGCCTCTAAACTATACAAACTATTATTATTCACCCAGGAGTGAATATTTTTTTTGTACAAAAAGTGTGCTTGCTTTTTGATTTGCTTCGAAGTACTACCAAACTGCTGTCAAGGTAACATGCTCTGGATGTAAACAAAATTGCCACACCCTTTTCGGCTATCAAAGTTCAGCAACCATAGTAGGAGGAAGGCATCTCCTTTTATTCCATCCTCTTTGTCAGAAACAAAATCGTGACTCATTGACCGATACTTGATAATTTTTTGGTTTCATTAGTAATGACTTGAGTTATTTGCTTTTCCAATGATGTATGAACAAACAAGTGTAAACAATAAGTAAATTGTATGGTAATGTCAGATATATAAATCCTCTATATTTAATTATGATTCTGCAAACCTTAAATAGACGATAATCTAGTTCAGCTAAAATAGCATTCAGAAGAAATGAAATAAAATTAAATTATGCAAATTTTTTTAATGCAACATTTCCAATTCGATACAAGATAAAACTAGTGTTATATATCAAATTTTGTAGTTGAAGCAAAAACTCGTTTTTCTGATGACATGAAAGTGACATTTAGTAATGAGTTAAAAAATATGTTGTAGCCAAATCGTCTGCAAATGATTATTCTATAGTCAAGTACATAATATATGGTGTTAGAGAAATAGTTGTTTATTATAGTTATGGTGTAAATATGCAATAAATAAATAAATTAGATATGTTTTAATTGATATCAGGTACTATTTAAAATAAAAGATACACCAGGAATAGGAACATTATTTTCAAATTTGTGAGGTTTTACTTGATCTGAAACTTGTAATCCCATCAGACATCCAGCGAATCGTCGTTAAGCCATGGAAAGGTTTTAATAACCTTTATTTATTAAACAGAAATTAAAACATAAATGCATGATCTTATTCTGACAATATCAACCACAGCTTCTGGTGATGCAACTACAGGAAAAGTGAAATTTAGTTTAAAATTTGGATACTAGTAAAGATTATACAATTTAAACCTTACTCTAAAACTGGCTCAGTAACACTAGTGGCATATCAAATTTAAATGTCGGGAGCGATATAACGGAAAACTGAATAATTGCAACTCATCAGAGCTGGCAGGAATCAAAGGTACCGCACATGCAAAGAAACACTGTCTGTCTTGCAATCCGAAAAGCTCAGTTTAAATACCAGCTAAACTCATTTACATTCTGGTGAGGAAATGAAAACTTATTGTAAAGACTGAAATTATAAATAAGTAGTTAATTTAAATGATAACTTTACAAATTTACCTATATTTTATATCAATATGCAGTTTATCATTATAATCTGAAAGTTATCTCCCATTAAACTGGCAGTATTTATTAAAACAATTGGAATAGTTTATGCTGTTTGATGTATGCTAAAAGTGTTTATTTAACTATCAATGTTAAACATCATCTGTTAATTATTATAGGTATTTTTATATATTTATTTCTTGAGCAATTAGATTATAGTCTTAAAAATTAAATAGTGAAGAATCAAAGCTGACATTTCTTATTAATTACTAAAAAATGAAGAAAATAATGGTATTTTATTTTCATTAATCAATAACTATTTTATGAATCCTTAATTCATTGTTAGGAAATTAATATTTTTGCATATTGCTACAGTTCCCTTATTTATAGCTTTCTACTCATTCTACTATCTCATCCTTTGTCTGGCAACTTTTATAGTCTGTTTTACAAGAATGATTTTTGTAGATTAAAAACGTATTGGGAAAATTATGCTTTATTCTTAACGGAAGAGAAAAAGCTCATTACATTCCTGTATTCTGCATTGTTTCTATTTTGTAAATTTAATGCATATATGCATTATAAATACATATGTATGGGGGGAACAGAAAAAAAGGAAAACCTGTTTTATATGTATAAATTTTGATAAAAAAATCCACTATGAGCTATAAAACTAAAAAGGAAAATGATAATAACCGTATACAATCACAATTTAACCAAAAGCAAAGTGCTGATTCATCTATATTTTAACTGATGTGTATAAAGAACTATAAAGTGTGTCTATTAGAAATGAATTCCTTAGAAGTAACAAAAACTAATTGCATAAATGAATCAAATATGAAGTTTAAGAGAATAAAAGGGCAATAAAATAAATATATTAAACCTAAAGTGAAGGAAGAACTAGAGTCTGAAACACCTGAAACCACAATCGTAAAATAGTATCAGATATTTTAGTATTAGTGTGTGTAAAAATAGCGAATTGAAATTTAACATAAGAGTCATAAGATATTCCCCCCCCCGGAAGCATAGTTACCTTTTTTTCTTACTTAATGTTAGTTAATATGAATGTTAATTAACTGATATTGTAACTGATTCTTAAACCAATTTACAGTATGAGCTGAATATCTGGGTAATATATCGGATGTGCCTTTTAAGATTAGGCAGTTACCACTTTTCTTCAGTGAAAGGAAGGTTATTAATTCAAAGACTTCACTCCCTTTTCAGAAAATACTTGAGCAAAATATTCCTTTCACCTCCTTTCTCTCTTAGTAATATAAGAATGGATTTTTTATTCATCCTAATACCGAAAACTATGTGACCTTCTACTAGTTCTAGCATGTCGAATTGGCATTGGGGGATATAATATCTCTCTGGACTCGAATTTCCACTCCAATTTTGGATTATAATAGTCATAAAGATTGCTTCTGAAGAGTGTGTCCGTAAATGGAGATTCATGCACAGATGGAGCTCTTGTGCTTTCTGAGTCACTATTTCGATCCAGTTTCCTTCTGATAAAAAGCAGGAGGTAAATGTTCACACAGACTGAAACTAAAAGAGAGACAACAAGAGCAGCACCTCCAATCAGATATTCTATCGGTGCTGGGAGAATGCTTTTTGAAGCAGAAGCAGGACTCCCATTCTGCGAAGATGGAGCTTTTGGTGGAGGAAGTTCTTCTTCCACAATACCTGTACCTGAAATTAATAGACAAAAATGGGATTTTTCAACTCAAAAACTATTCATAATGTGATATAATTACATATGCATTCTCTCTATGTTAACAGTTACTTTTTTCAAAACTATTAAACTGCTTCATGAATGAAAATTATACTATACGACAGATTTGATAAACAAGTTCTCTAATCATAAAACATAACGTTAACGACAAACTAAAATAAGAAAAATGGTATCAAAATGAGAAAAGATTATTTCTCTTAAACGTTATACTTTTTTTCCCTCGATATAACCATATACTGTAAAACAATTTGCAAGCATTTGATGCACTTTTCCATCCCTTTCATTAGAAAAGGCGGATTGTTTCTGAGCCATCTGCATTTGCAAATTTAACTTGAAATGAAAAAAAAGTTGACCTTTCAATACATTTTTCGATTTTAGGATCAACCCAAAATCGAAGTAACCAAATTTGAGCTTTAAGGAGGATGTGAAACAATGCTGAACTTCATGCTTATCATTCCAATGTGTGTTGAATGATCTTTGTTGTCGTAATGCAAAAAAATCCTGCCTTCAAGCCTGATTCTATGACTACCTTGTTCACTGTTTGTAAAGTTTCACAGTGCCTCCCGAAATTTATCATTTTCTTAGAAATTAATGTAAATCATATCCTTTGCATCCTTAAAGACGGGGAGTATGATTTCATACGCTGAAGAAACTCTCTCAGATTTCTTAATATTTGGAAAACTTGAATTGATTTTTATTTTGTAGGTCAAAATGATGAATCCATCATGAGTGCAAATTGCTGACACACGACTGAGCATAGAATGAAATAGACTTTGATATGGTAACTGGAGATTCACAAGGCTTTAATTCTTTTTTAGAATTCCTCAGCTGTTGCCGCTGGTGTTCATGCCAATTTTTGCGTAGTCATAAACAGGCATGTTCAACCGGTGAAAGATGTGATGAACACGCCACAAAAGCATAGAACATGCGGTCTATCAAAAGAATGTTGGAAGCTATTTATGACATGTGTTTATGCATATTTTTATTGGTAGGCCTTAAAAAAACCCAGTCTATAACATTTTTGTGTTATGTGTCTGGCTGGTAAAATACCAAATCTATGTACTAGATACGAGCGAGGCTTAGACCTAATGGCACTTCCTAGCATAACTTCAGAAGCTGAAATGATATGACGATGTATAGTAAGACTCCAGTAATCTATAATAACAGATATAGATATGGCCACACTGCTACAAACAGAAGAGTGAAATGACAACATTTCCATTCCTGAGATCATGCATATCATTCAGTACACCACTGTTACCACAAATGCTTTTCTGTATTGTTCGGGATTAAAGAAGGAATAGACCTCTTGGAAGCAGTCGTAGCGTCGCAAATGATATCGCTCTATGCCTGCAGATACATGTTACTATATCATGAAATCTAATTTCTGAGTTTCGCTGGCTCTACTCTCCATATGATCTATCCGTGCAATATGCGTCTCGAGAGCAGGTATGTCAGTGTAATTGTGATTCTGTACAATGCTGTGTCCGTTCATCTTATGTTATTGGTTTCTATATTTGCATGACAGTTATGGGATTTCCACCAATATGAGCAGTAATTTCACATTAAAGTATTCTACAATCTCAACATGCTATAATTCTTCTACCCTCAGATTCAGATATATGCTGGTTGAGTCTGTTTACATAAGGAATGTTTAAATTCATTGTGCTAACAAATAATGAGAGAAAGTGATTCCCGTATGCAAAACTCATTCTCCTTTTTACACGGTTTTTTAGGTGGCAATACTGATGATGATTATGTGTATGTGTTTTGTATTGCTATTGTCTAGGTACTGCAATCATAACATCTATCATACAAATTTTAGATCCGTCATCTGTCATATTGTTGAATATATGAAAATGTGAGGTGTTTTATTACTTTTTTAAACTTAACTGAAACTGATGGTGCCGGACAAATCAACAAAAAAATCAAATAACATAATCAAAATATTCATCATTCATATATCATATCGAACATTCTTATAAACATTCGTATAGTGGTAGTACAATTTAACTTTTAGGTTCGCGTTGTGAGTAACCTATGCAAAGGAAAAATCAATAACCCCAAGTTCAATTAAACTCCATGTTTCCTTAAAAGCCTCCCGGCCCAAACAAATGGAGGGACATGACAACCACAGTAAATTATACACAAGATAAATACACAAATACAATTAAATTTTAAACACACATTTATTAAATTCTAGAATATTATTATATTACTAAATAATGGATAACTGATCAGTAATCCTACCACATACTTTTACTATGAAAAGTAACACATAATGTCACACGCAATTACAGCTTACAAAAATTAAGATTAACATTATCAAATCCTACTGTATCATAAGAGTAACACCAGTATTTCTCCCATTTCATCTTCTAACTTTAAGTATTTATTCCCTTTAAGAACACTGATAATTTCCACATCGATTAATTAATTTAAGTAATTGCTCAAATTTCAACAAAAATTAACCCTTTTACAGGCGGTGGTAAATATCTTACCACTAAGCAATTTGTTTTCTAGCAGCATACGAAAAATTATTTACCAGCGCCCGATATCAGGAATTTTCCTCTGGAACCAGAACTTCACATTTTCTGTAATAGATGGCTGTAGAGGCCATGTAAACCGCAACATTTCTGCATTCATCCAGTTTTCAAGCAAAATGGAGAGGGTAAGCACGTACTCTTTTCTTATTTTTTTGTGTAATGATATATAAAAATACGTTAAAAGCTTATATTCATATATTTTGTATCTTAAACGTTTGATAGCTAAATTGTATTAGGCATTTAAAAAATTATAGCGAAATATTTTGTTTTATACATATTTGAATTTGGTGGTAAGTTATTTACCACGGCACACTTAGTGATTTTAGAGGTGGTAAATAATTTACCACTGCCTGATAGAAACACAGTTTTACTATTATGTTTCGCTTTAGAAATAGCATTTTGTTTGGCATGGTACTTGATTTCTTTGTATATCTAATACTTTTATATTAGCATTTCAATAATTAATTATTTCTAATATTAATTATTATAAATATTATGGAAAATATTTTAGCGTTTATTTACGATTACATAAATATTTATGTATTTAGAAATTAGAATTAAAATATTACTTTAGAATGCTATAAAGGTAATATTTTGATCAGTATGTTCAAGAGATTTCAAAATATAAGTAACTAATTAAATGCAATGAATATTATTTTAGGTAAACGCATTGAAGAAAAAGAAAAAAAATTAATCACCGAGGAAGCTGTAGAGCATTATTTTGCCCTGCCTTCAGATCCTGAAGATTCCGAAAAAGGACTCCCTCACGCAAGAACTGCAGGCTTTTTGGGAAATCATAATTATGAAGGGGATCGATAAATTACCTTAGATTTGTACTGGTCTTCTGACTCTTTTTTTTTTTTTTTTTTTTTTTCAATAATCAAGAAATCTCGTCAATTATGCCAGCAAAGAGATTAAAAAAATATCCTTTCAAATTTGCATATCAATGACAATCAAAAGGCTGTCCCTTGAAATGAGCCAGAATTTGACAAATTATCACCACTTTTTTACTTTGATCACCCATTTAGATAAAAATTCAAGAAAAATATTCAGACTTCAATCTATTGATGAAAAAATGGTAAAATTCAAAGGAAGGTCCACAATGAAGCAATATATGCCAGGGAAGCCTGTAAAAAGAGTTTATAAGATTTGGGCTAGATCAAACGCATCAATTGGTTACCTATATCAGTCTGAAGTTTACACTAGGAAAAAGATTTGAATTTAGGTTGAGAGTAGTTCGCAGCCTAATTGGAGGCTTCTCTAGTAAAAAACGAAAACTGCAATCAAACTGGGTATCAGCAAAAAAGAACAATGCTATTCCAAGGGAAAATCCGAACAACCAATGTTAGAACACACATGCCAGTCAGAGGAGAAAGTTACAGAAGGTGCAAATATTGCAGCACAAAAGTAAATCAGAAACGTACCAAGGTGTTATGTTCAACATGTCATGTACCATTCTGTGCTGCTTCATGTTGTAAATAAAAATAAAAATTAAAATCAGTAGAAATAGTGCATTTTGTTATATTTATATCTATAATCACTTTTATATTAATCATCGATTTTATATTATATGTATATTTAAATAATCAAGAATAAATAGTTTTCATCAAAAATACATGCTTATTTGTGATATTTTTGTAATTATGATTTGTTTCTTTTGCACAACTCAGTAAAATGCCATTGCTTATACCGGGCGGTGGTAAATATGTTACCACCCCTATTATAAACAACAACAGAATTCCAAAAATAGTATTTTTGGTCATAAACGAGCTACTTTTCCCTAATAGTTGCATAAAATATGAATTTTGAAAATAAATGGCCTGGGCCCGATAAAGGGATTAAAATGACGGCTCTTGCTTGAGTATTAAGATAATTATTAAAGTAAAACAAATAAAAACAAATCACTCACGAGGTGAAGTCTATACCGCACACTCCCTTTACTCGGGAATACCTTTGTAAACTGATTAATAAGGTGATTTGACAGCTCCACAGATCGTCCAGCGCCCAAAGTTTACTCGAGCACCACATTATTCCTGCTGTCCTTTATTCACAAAATCATCGTTAATGGAGACAGACAGATCGTGCGAATTTTAAAGATGTCTTTGTTGAAACACCACTGAAGCTGTCCTTACAATTAATAAATTCCAGAGCATGGAAGAATGGGGAAAAAAAAAAAAAACGGCGCAGCTGACACAGGCAGAATAAACAGCATCCACACTTAGACGGATCCCACACGAGTCTCTTTCATTCTGGAAGCCTCGAAACCCACCAAAAACGTAGAGCACCTTTGGAACAAAATCTAATTAAGAAGACAAAGTCGGTAAAAACAGGAATACCGCATCAGTATCACCACGAGAATCTGCATTACAATTCTTGGAACAAGAGAATCGAAATTCTATTCTGAGCTCTACGCCTTATGCCAACGCAAATTCTCACCAGCTAAACGCCGAGAGAAAATCATATCCGCTGCTCGCTGGTTCACGCGGCCCGCAGCAAAGCAAGGCGGCAACAGGGCAAACGTCCCGATCTTTTTTTTTTTTTTTTTTCTTCAGCTTAACCTCACATCGCAGGAGTCAAATTAGACGCAATAGCCGGCGCTCGCGAGAGCAAGACCCGCAGAGGTCAAGCCCCACTCCTTTCTCCTCTTACTCTTCGCTTCAAAATCAGAATCAGGAATAATGAACTCTAGCCTGGTGCAAGCACCCAGGAAATCTCGATTTCTCCGCCTCTGTGAATTCATAGGCTTTCAAAAATCATAAAATTAAAATCACACCAATGCCGGAATTTTACGTTATCTAAACCTGAGAAAATGACACACCCATGACGAATCAAACACGAGAAAATCTGACAATGCAGTCCGAAAAACATCTGTACACATAACGTGAGAAAAAGTGGACCCCTCAACTAACAAGCGGAACTAAGCTTTACGAGAATCCAATTAGCAGCCACCCCCACTGTCTTGAAGTAACAAAATTGAAACTATAACAAAGGAAGGCAAGACGATTTTCGTTTCACACGCCACTAGTAAATGGCGATAACACAGCATCCTACTGCCTCCACTGTTAGTAAAAAGGCCATAAACCAGATGGCTCTTGCGACCGTTTCCTGTCGTTGTTACACTACGCTTTCAAGAACTACCAGTTAAATAAGGCTTTAACAATTTAAGAATACTTTTTTTCCAGATAAATATACATGAATACAAATAAAAATATTAGAATAATAATAACTTAAAACACATATTAATAATTAAAATTCGCGACATAACAATATTTCCCTTCGTAGTTGCAGTTAAGGCCAGGAGTGTGCAGTCCGGAAACTGTGAAGGTCTGTAATCTTTTTTTTTTTTTTTTCCATAGAAACTTTTTTCACGTTTTTGTGTAATAACAAGTGCATGAGGTCGAATTCGGTTGCACCTTGGCCTGTTTTTATAAAATAATTACTGGTGCCACTTCAATTTATGAATTTCAGTCAAAACTTATCATTTGACCGAAATTAATCAATTAATCTTAAATGTACTGATTAGAGATCTGATTCTCAAATCATTCAGTGTTCTACCGAATTAGTACTCCATATCAAGATACCTTAGTTCACTTGCAGTTTGGCGGGAAAAACAATTTTCAAGCGTTTTAAAATCATAGTTTATCAAATGAACAATAAATATATTTTATATATTTATTTATAGCTTTTTATATTTTCGAGTCGAAAGGGGTAAAGAAACGTCTGGAGAATCCAGATTCAAAACTCCTCGAGCCTATCATCGGCTTATCCGTAAATCACAGAATACTGGCAGTTTAAACCGGCAGAGGCTGGCTGGTGGTAGTTTGGAGGTTTTGTCCATGTGTAACATGAATATGACCCATCAAAAAACCCTGCACGAGAGCGTGCCTCTCTCTCGTTTGCTTCATCATAATCTGAATAATCATCGAAACTTCACGCTACGGGATTTTCAAGCACATTCTCAAGTTTGTGGCACAATAATCCAAAACTTTGTTTCCATCTGTGCTTGTTATTAAAACCTGCTAAACTTAAAGCGGAAGAGATATTGTGCAGCGTTATTTGAACAACCGACTAACTAAAGACCATCAGACGTGACCACTGTCATGTCCTTCTCAAGGAAAGTCTTTCAGTGTTTTATTTATCACCCAGCAGACAATTTATTGGGTCTAATGACAATTATACATGGGCAAACAAAACCAAATTCTGACATAGATACAGAGAGTACATAAGTTTGAGAAAACACAGGTTTGGGACTGTTACAGGACAAGAATTTGAATACCTTACATTGCATCTACTTTGCCAGGTATGTTAATCAAACCCGCCAATATATATTAAAATAGTAATAATGATGATATTTAAAAAAAGAGAGAGAAAATAAAAATAGCAATAATAATAATAATAATAATAATTTAAATACAGGCAATATCTCCAGCATAATATGCTTGAAATTCGCTCCAATGTCTACACACAATCAGTAAAATAAAATAAACTCATTAAGTACAATACATAAGTTATGCTGTAAATGTATTTGAAACATGTATCCGTACAGTACTACGCATTTATTCCTGCACAGTTAAATGATTACTTTGTCTACTTCTCTTTGTAACGCCTTTATTTTTGCTATGCTGTCGGCCCGTTGTGGCCAGTACTGATCAGCAGGGGTACGTAGATGTTGATTAAGTAACTGACTATAAATTTGCTCAAGAAATGTCCTTTATGCATCATTTACTGTTTTATTATCTACAAAATTTGACGAAAGAAATATTGCAATGGGCTTATTAAAATATATTTGTACAAGTATTGAGAAAGATAAGATATCATGGTTAGAGTTTGTTTTCTTTTTTACCTTTAGATATTTGGTTATACAGTGGAATCACGAGGTACAAGTTTAATTCGTTCCAGCATTGAGCTCGTACAGCAAATTTCTCGTATCTAGAAACAAACTTCCCCCCATTGAAAATTATGGAAATCCAGTAAATCCGTTCTGCACCCCCAAAAATCTCATTACCATCTCATCTTGAGTCAACGTACCTGGTGTTTTTCGGAGAAGGTCCACGTACAGAATTTTAGCCTTAGCGCAAATGATAGCTTCCGACGCCAAATCGCCTTTTAATTGCTTTTTCGTTAATCCACACCAACAACAGCTTCTCAACATCTTCTAGGAGTTTTGGACGGTGCTTGGAAGTAAAGGTAACTCTTTTGGCTACATTAAGTTTCTTAATTTCTTCCTTCTTCTTAAGAATAGTGCAGATCGTCGATATCGAACGGCCGAAAGTCTTTGGTAATTCCATCACTCTTACACCACGCTTATGTTTATCTATGATTTCTGTCTTAATTTCAACGGCCATGGCTTCCTTCGTTTTCTTCGCAGCACTATAATAATCTGCTTGGGAGGCAACGTGAAATAACTATTTTCACGTTAAATGCAAAAAACAATTAACTCACAAGTGCACAAACACGTAGATCAGAGAACACCGAGTGATCTGACGAGGGTATTCCTCGAGTCGAGCCGGATCGGGAAAAGCGCCACTCATATCAACAGCCTGGCTCGTTGCTCGAGTCAATGCTCGTATTTAGAGACAGATTTTTCACTCATACTTTCCTCTATCTCGAATTTCTCGTATGTAGAGGTGCTCGTATCTCGAGATTCCACTGTACGTTTTTGGATATTTTCTTTTTGGCTATGGCTACAGATAATAGACATAAATTTCTTGCTGTTTTTTCAATCAATTTTTCAATTTTTTTCTCAAAGGGGAGGAATTGATATTTATGGTGTATATGGGAAGAACTTGAAAGCTCCTTTGTAGCCAATTTTTCACTTGCAGTTGCATTCCAGAATTAAATACGGTCTATTTGAGCCGAAATATATTGAAATTTATGAAACTGTACTCACCAGATGATCTCGGTATCCTGTGGTCTTCATCCATGACTGTGACTTCGTTCGTTACAGTCAAAGTTCTGCCTGGATCTGTTTCACCATGTATTGAAGTTGACCTTTTTTTCCTTCCGTATGACATGCCTAAGTAGTCTCCACAATCTGCCTATTTAAGAATAGGAAAAAAAAAATACATGAAAAGTTTCATAACGAAGAATGGTGCTTTTCATGATGAAGTTGATAATATTAACTTCGATTTACTGAATGATGTCATTGTTAATGGTAAAAATGGCTTAAAACTAAATACATAATGAATTAGGTAGTGTCAAATAAGGTAAAATTGAAATGCTGTACATTTATAAATAATAAACAACCCCTAAATGTAACGTTTATGAACTGGTCATTGTTGCTGAGGCTTACCAGTTTCTCTTAAAGTAAACTCAGTGATAGTGTAAATGTCCTCAGATTGCGGATCGAATAATGTTAAAAATTACAAAATTTTGAATGCTATCAGTTGGTCAATCATTTACTGATTACCTTTGCTGTCATCTGTTAAATCAACAATCTAAAAGTCATTTAGTAATTTTCCATTCAATGTTTCAGTTCTAATTTGTTGCTTCTATTCTGTTTTTACAGTTTCCGCAAGAAACATTTTCCTCTCCCCCATGGACGCTTCTCCCAGCAGCGCTTCTCATTACAGGCAGGATGCTAACAGCTGATAGAGGGAGGAATGTTTATAGATTAATATTGTTTGGATTTGCCTAGTTTTCGAAATCATAATTTTTTTGTAGTTTAAATATCAGCACATTTTTTGTTTTTTTAAATGAAATTGAAGTTCACTTTGATACGTAAACTTGCATTCCAGTGTTTGTTGTGATAATAACTTTAACAAAACAGTAAAATTTTGTTTCACTACAGGAAAAATTTGAGATGAGAATAAGTTCAAAGAACATGAAAAGTAAACTACAATTAAAAAGAAATCTCGAATGGGACATAAGGATAGCTATTTATTGAGTCAATAGATTTAAAAATGGACATGTGGTCTACGGCTCGGGCACTTGAAAAGCGCTGGCTGACGCAAGGGTGAAAAAAATTACCGAGTAGATGACATCGCCGTCGATTAAAGCAACTTACGGATTTCGAAAGGTACCTTATCATCGGGCTGAAAACTGCAAATAGGTCGATGTTTCTTTTAGACTACATCGTACAACTTGTTTGACCATGTTGTTTGATGCTGGTGGGAGCGATTGATATGTAACTGTATCTATATAACAGTTACCTGATCGAACAGGAACCATCCGGAGGTAAGATGGAAGGTTTCGGCGTCTGGCACCTAGATTCCATTGTGATCCGGTTCACTATATAGGCACATGCAGCGACTTCTGTGGGCCCGTGAACTACTTTCAGACGCTCGAGGATACAAATCTGCGATCTCAGGGCCTCTGATATGAGTTGCTTTTAATACCGCAATATGACAGTTGCATTTGCAATGGTGCAAGCTTTATAGCAACGTGGGACGCACAGACCGATAATGTGCAGTGTTTAGCTATGAGAGTCTTTTTATTTTCGAGACGAAAGATCATCGTTTCCAGGTGTGAAAATTCCTTGGTCAGTGGCGCAATCCCAATTTCAATATTAGGCGATAGATTTTTCCCACTGCAGGCATTATTGACCGGGAAGTCGCAGCTTACTACACCTATTCAATCAAGTAGCTGTAAGCGGACCATTAAGAGTCTAGCGGTAACCACACATGGCTCGAATCAGTGCCGATCGTAGACCATCGGCCACCCACGTGCAAAATAAAATTAGCCGTCCTTTTTTACAGAAATGTAATACTTTTGATAATCATTTTGCCACCCTTACGTGCTGTGCACCATCCTGTCCCCGCTAGGATCGGCGCTGGCTCGAATGACCCAGAAGGACCAATTTTCTGCACAAAGTTTGTGAAGCTTACAATATTACTAGAAAAATTTAACAAGTTGAGCCCTCGTTGTATTTACTTGTTCACAAGTTGAGCCCTCGTTGCCGAGATGCTGTTATTTGCTGCTTGAGAAAAAAAAAAAAAAAAAAATCCTGTATTGGCAAAGTAGAAAACTCGTACCAGTTTCAGTTATACAGGGTCTTTCATTTAGCTCCCCAATTATAGTAATAAATTCCTTAAAAATTTTGTACTTTCATGTAAGCTTTTGATACTTTTCAGCTGGAGAAATATTCATCAATTGTATAGGTTTTAGTATTGATTGCGACTCGTATTCACGTTACACAAGGAGAAAAATACGAAAACCAACCATGTAGCCAATCTGTTCCTTTGGGTTCGAACCCGAGACGTATAACTAGTATTCAGCGGTTTTTACGGCCATTGGTGGAACATATTAATTGCACAACTAGTGTATAGTGTACAGCTGGCCATCTAAAATGCAATATCACGAAGGAAGCTTCCATTGGGATTGCAATTTGTACCATATGACGACCTCACAGGACATAAAAATAATTAGCATTGCCCAAATATGGAACTCATGTGCACCAGTAGCGGCACCTAGAAAAACTATAAAAAGGGGAGACTAGTAGGCTGTTTTAAATTCTGGAATTGATTGTCCTGGTGTTCTTGTGCATGGGAAATATTAGCATGTCTCGTTGAAAAAAGCAGGCATTCGAATACTATTCTAAATTTAATCGAAAAAGAATTGTGGCTCACAGAGACTTTGAATTATCATTCCAAGAAATCAAGCAACAGTTATGCAAATAGAGAATCAGTTCGCACAAGGAACGAATCGACCGATAGAAACCGTCAACCTTGTTCTCCCATTAAACGGAAAGACAAAAATGTTGTGGCGCCTTGCGATGATAGATAGCATAGCAATATTGATATGAGATGATAACCTCACAGCAACTTCAAGAATCCTTGCTCAAAAGTTAGGATTTGTTACATCTTTGTCAGCAGTTACCATTGGTCATTATCTGTAGAGCAGACAAATTTTTGCAATGCGTGCATTTTTGCCATTGCGATTGATCCTGCTGTTTATGATGCGTTAGTCGAAAAACGTGGACTACGAATAACGTGACTCTATGTTTTCAGAAGCAATTCCACTCTGCTTATAACACTACGATGATAAAATCTGAGTGTGGCGACACCGTGATGACAGACATCAGGAACTTTGAATTATGCATCACCATACCGTAGTATCACCTTGCTCTCACACTCACCTCATACGCATTGCCACACTCTTAGCAGCCACCGTTACATCACTGAAATTCTGGAGCCTGCTGTCTTGAGTCCTCTGCTGTACTTCTGCAGCTGAGTTCCGTAGGGCAATGCCTGATTGAGCATGGCACGCAACGTTCAATAATTCTTCATAGGCCACCAGTCCTTAGTCCTCTCTCCTTGCCTTAGTCCTCTCTTTCTTCTGATATGTTGCACATCGGACACGCGCAGTCGATGACTAGAAAACGACTGGCTCAGCAATACACCTCACGCGGCATTAACAGCAAATAACAAACCCAAAGCACGCATCCAAATCTTTTTTACTTCCTTGTACGAAGTAAAAAGGAAGTATTGTAATAGCGGAAAATTTCGGGTGTCATATTGTAACGAAAATATCCATTTTGACCGCTATCGAATGCAATCTGAACGAGGTTTCTGTTGTTACATCTGTATGTAATGGACTGAATTTACATCTGTACTGAATGTATGAATGGACAGAAAACGGATTGAAAAATGAATTTAAAATGAATTCATGATGAGAATTTGTTTCGTGACGTCTACACGTACATATACACGTTACGTATGTATCTCGCATAACTCAATAACGAGTAGCCTCAGAAACGTTGAAATTTTGTATAAAGGACTGCTCTGACATGTAGTTGTGCACCTCCTATTTTATTGCAGTTGGCCGCACCAAAAGTATATATATATATATTGTTTCACAAGAATGCACTCTGCTACTCGGCTCAGTAAGTTCAGTTTCTTTATTCTTATATGCTTGCAAATTGTGCATTTTTGCTTTAAAATTGATCGAATTATGTTGTTATGGTTAAGATTTTTATGCCTTTAGTTAACCTGCATGCAATAATTGTAGAATTATTAACAATTTAAAGGTTTTTTTAAGTGCGGATAAGCTTAATTTTTGATTACCATGGCAGCCATGTTTGTTTACATTTGAAACTTAATAATGGATTTGTTGCCAATCTAGAGAAACTAAGCCTCGCAACAACAAAGTAACGTCTTCTTTTATTATTGCGAATTAAATTATGCTTAAATCATTCTGAAATTATCATTTAAGTTAGTAGCTTATTCTTGCGTAGAAACTAATTCTAATTGTAATATATATATATATATATTATTTTAACTGTACTTGGTGTTTTATGTTTTTATATATCTTTCAAATTTTAATGAAAATATTTCGAATTTTTACGTATTTTTGCCTTACCGCGAATTGAGAACTGAATTAATTAGTAGCGCATGCGCATTAGGTAAGCGGCGCTGAATCGCCTGCGAAAAATTGTTTCTTTTTTATTTGTTTAATTTGTTTTATATATCATTTTAGATTTATTATAGTATTTGAATAGAACATGCGGTAATTCTTCAGATGATATAGTTTTTGTGCACTCCGAGTTATAAAATGAATGAGATGTAATGCTGTTAAAGGAACCTAGCTCCGAAGTGTCGTTACGGTAAATAAATAAAATGAACTTTAAAGAGTGCATTTATTCTGTTGTGGTTTATGCGTTATCTGCGAAGTAGATTTAATTCAAAATTTGTTAACTGTTAATTCAATATGTTTAAATGATATGCTGGAAATTTGCGTATAATTTAATATTTCGTACAAAGAAGTCATGTGGTGTACACATCAGATTTTTTAATACCAAAACATGCTGCAACAATTAAGCAATTATTGCTAAGCATGGCGACTACATAAAATGTTCATTTTTATTCCGCAAGTCGATTGGAACTGTAATTTAAATCGGTTCACCCTTGCGCCTTACATTATACGTCCAATAAATGTGGCTTTGATATTTTTGGTTCTTCATAGTGCTCTTTTTTGCATTGCCGAGTAGTGTAAGTATTCTCTTTTATTGCTAGCATAATTATGATTCCTCTGACGCTATAAATTACTTGCGACATTTTGAGACTTCAAAAAGTCATAATAGAAATTTCTGTACCAAATA